CGTTTGGACAAGATCGCTAAACAACACGATATCGATTACAGTCACGCTAAGAATTTGCAAGACAAGTGGAAAGCGGATACAAAGATGATCAAGGCCATTAATAAGTTACCCGGCAGCAAAACAATGACGGAAAGGATTGTGAAGAGAATCATGCAGGCTAAGAAAAAGTTAAAGTTGTAATCAGTTTCTCCCTTTGGAGTTCGTGTTATTCAATAAACGTTATAAAAACTCTGACGCTTTGTGTTGATGCCTTGTTTTGTTTTTGTTTTACTTTAATGCGTTAATGGAGAAAATACTTTTAGTCCGCATTAAATTTTGTTACTTGAAAATATCCTTATGTCTATAGTTATCGTTTTACAAAACATGTCGTTTTGGCACGGGAGTACAAGCTTTAAGTTAAAGCGATAACATCATTTGTTAACAGACAATTATTTTGGGTGTTTAAGTAAGTAAAACGAATAGCATTTTCAACTTCAATTAACTTTAGTCCCTGTGTGGTTTGATTTCTTTGCTCTCTACAAAAAACAAAGAGGTATTAATTTTTCATGCAAATTCAGCATTTCCAAGTTTCTTGCTTGGAGTTAAACAATGTCGTATAAGAGTCAAGCGTCGCGCATCGCGTCACTCCACATCTTTGTGTTTAGGACCACAGGACACTGTAAGTATCAATTTTGAAGTTGCATGAAATTTTTTGTGTGACCCTGGCGTGATTTGTGTCGCCATGGAAATCCGTGAGACCGATCCCAGTCCTCCGTCGAGGCTGGTGGGCTGTTTTCCAACATGGCTGACTTTCGTGGGCGACGCCATCTTGAATTCTTAATTCGGCTCCTGATTGGCTGAAATTTGTGGCGGCCATCTTGGATTTGGAAAGCAATAGCATCCATTGTTCTCCAAACAATAGCCTATTGTCTTTCTCAGCTCCTGATTGGTTACCGCTCATATAAGCGTCCATTACTACATTCCAGGTATGGAGATNACAGGACACTGTAAGTATCGATTTTGAAGTTGCATGACATTATTTTGCGTGACCCTGGCGTGATTTGTGTCGCCATGAAAATCCGTGAGACCGATCCCAGTCCTCCGTCGAGGCTGGTGGGCTGTTTTCCAACATGGCCGACTTTCGTGGGCGCCGCCATCTTGAATTCTTAATTCGGCTCCTGATTGGTCCGATTTTTCAAGGCGCCGTCTTGGTTTTGGAGAACAATAGCATCTGTTGTTCTCCAAACAATAGCCCATTGTCTCTCTCGGCTCCTGATTGGTTACCGGCCATATAAGCGTGCATTACTGCTAATGATATCCTTGCTAGGAACTGGTGTTGTTTCGTGGTGAGTTTGCGATAGTTACTCACCGTTATAGAAAAGATTTTTTCAGTTTTCACTAGCGTGTCGTAAAATGTCACGTCAGCATTCTGTCCCAAGAATACGCCATGTCACTCAGCCTTTTTAGCACCTTCTGTTGTAAAACCTTGGTTTTGTAAGAAGTTTGGCGAAACGATTTCGAAGTAACTTGAGTCAGTAATCGTGGTAATTCTTTACCTGAAAGATTGGATAAGCAAATTGAACAACTGGAAAGGGAGCAGCAGGAAAAGATGAAGATGTGGTCAAAAAAGACTGAGCCTCTGGAGACGTGGCTGGTTAAGAAGGAGACCATCGTGGAGTCTTACGAGCCAATCGGATATGACATCAGTTATGTAAAGGGACAAAGTGAAGATGCTCAGGTTGGTACTGATTCTCCCGAATCGTGTTCCATTTCTTGAACTCTCAGTCACCAGTAATGGACATGAAAGTTCTCCCAGTACATCACATACCACACAGGGAACAAAAATTGTGTGAATTTTTTTAACAAAACGTCCAATGATTCATATTGCGTATGTTTTTCAGGCGATGATCACAGACCTACTCCACGAGCAGCCGAAGTTCGCTGAGATGACGGACCTCGGTAACCAGCTTACAACCGAGCCTTGTGTAGGATTGGAGGAACGGGTCAGGATACAGAAAGAGATGCAGTCACTGCACGAGAGATGGGACGGTTTGTATGGATCAGCCACCTCCCGGCACGACAGGTAATGGCTGAAATTTTGAGAAGATATTCTTTGCTTAAAATAAAGTTATTTTGGATTAATAAATTGTGACATAAGTCATCAGTACGACGTTCATAGATATTTTCAAGTGTTACACCAAAAATCGTCTAAGTTATTGAACTGTTGAATTCTTACAATGGACTATTATTGCAAAAAAAGAGTATTTGTGGGGTTGCTTTGCTTTGCGTAGTCCACTCTTTAACACTGTTTCCATTTATTGTCCTGCTTAAACATATTGTATTATGGCCTTTGGATGGTTTTTGGGAAAATTTCGGTGACGAAAGCAACTATATTCTTGTACCTGAACAACTAGGTGTACCTCCTTTAGACGTATAGTCGTCGTGTTGTGATACGAAATTGGTATGGCATAGCTTTTGGTTAACCGCGTTACTTTTACTTTTTAAGGATTCAAGAAAGGCTAAGAATATTAGAAGACGAGCAAAGAAAGCTGGAGGAAGAAAGACAAAAATTGGAAGAGGAAGAAAGGCAGAGGAGAGCGGAAGAGGAGAAGAGACGACAGGAAGAGATTGAAAGAAGACGAAAAGAGGATGAGGAGAGAAGAAAACGGGAGGAAGAGGCAAGAAAACGCAGAGAAGAGGAAGAACGAAAACGGAAAGAAGAAGAGGAAAGGCTACGAAGAGAGGAGGAAGAGGAAAGGAAAAGGAAGGAAGAAGAGGAAAGAAAACGAAGGGAAGAAGAGGCGAGGAAAAGAAGAGAAGAGGAAGAGACAGCAAGGAAAGAGGAAGAAGAAAGACGAAAGCGCGAGGAAGAAGAAAAAAAGCGAAAGGAAGAGGAAGAACGTAAGAGGCGGGAAGAAGAAAGAAAAAAGAGAGAGGAAGAAGAACGAAAGAGAAGAGAGGAGGAGGATAGAAAGCGGAAGGAAGAACAAGAACGACGGAAAAGAGAGCAAGAAGAGCGACGGAAGAGGGAAGAAGAAGAACGAAAGAAGAAGGAGGAAGAGAAAAGGAAGCAGCGCGAGGAAGAGGAAAAAAAGAGAAAAGAAAGAGAAAGGAAACGAAAGGAAGAAGAGGAAAAGAGACGTCAGGAGGAAGAGGAACGGAAAAGAAAGGAGGCTGAAGAAAAACGAAAGAAAGAAGAGGAAAAGGTTGGTTGTATTGACAGTAAATATCTTAACTTTTCAAGCATTACCAGACTTTGCCTCGTTGTTGTCCATGCTCTGCTTGTTCAAAGGATGGATAAAGCCTTCCACCGTCCACTCTATAGAGATTTATACGGTGGATAGCGTTATCCAGCCTTTGAACAACTGTGCCCCGCCAAATAGCAGGTTAATGTCCTGGGTTGTGCATATTAGCGTAAGTTTTTGAGTCCAAAATTCATGAAGCGTGATTGGCCGCTTCGGAAATGAACGAAAGCAAATCTCGGGTTCCGCGTGGCGACGTGTAAATTCATGGTCAAGTAAAAACCCTCACTTCTTTTCGAAGCCAAAGTTTGTCTTCCGAGGCGCTATACTCGTAAAGGGATAAACATGTATGTTGAAGACTTTATCACACCCATGGTCATACGGGATCAAAATGTTTGAAGTAATATATCAAACACGAAAGACCGTGTTTGACCACATTTCCAAACACCGAGAGGACAGTTGAAAATACGACGCGTAGCGGAATATTTTTGACGAACTTCGAGGTGTTTGGAAATGTGTTCAAACACTGTCTTGAGTCTTTGATATATCTTCTCAATCGAAACTAAAACTAAGAAGATCAGATATCCAAACACCGTCACGGTCGTGATTTCCTTTGTTTAAATTTAATGAATTATTAGTGAGTTTGAGAATGTTGTTTCAATTCAGATAAAAGCTTTCGCTTATATCGCACCTCAACCTCGCGTTCAGCTGGTTGAGCAGGAGCCAAGACTGTTCAGCAGTCCAGTGGACGAAGTTATTGTGTCTGTTGACGAGAATGTTGTCGAGGCGGCAGCAGAACCCGATGGGATTGTATTAGATGGAAGGCTACAGGACTGGAGAAACGAGGCAGAGAAAATGAAGGCGTAAGTACCGGATGACTAGTCACATAAATTTTTTGTATCGATAGTGAAAGCATAATAACCAAACCCAGTTGCAGAAGAAAAATTAATTTACTTGGTTGTCATTCCATTGAAGCCCTGATTGATGTTGTCGTTTCCGGTTTTCGTTGTTGTTGTTGTTGTTGTTGTTGGGTAAGTTTCTTTATTTGCAAAGATGATTTCTGTCCTTAGCTCATGACATTTATATTCTTCACTTCATCACTTGCCATACTTATTCCTTATGATGTTCTCTGGCTGTTACTCTGGTTATTATCTCCTGGTAAAATTTCTATTGAGATCGTGAATCCGGGGGCCACTGGTTTCTCAAGCGCTACATTGATGAAATAAAGTTAAACTCGTTGAGAAATTCAGTAACATTTCGCGCCACTTACCCCAGCGCATTGGTCACACACCTTACTATTAAGCCGTCCATGAGTTGTATTTTGAATTCAATGCAATTTGGCCAGTTGTCCAAACCTAGTCGGTATTGCCTCTTTGTAGGTGGATAAAGGATCAAGACAACACACTACCCGAAGAATCCGACGAGGACAACATTGCAACTCTTATTGAGAAAGAAGGCAAAATTGCGGTGAGCTGCAGGCATTTACACTGTCATATGAGTAAGGAAAACCAGAAAATTAGAAAACACATTTCATAAGAGAAACTATTCACTGATGACATTCCCAAGCAAGGCGTTGTTCAGGAGGCTACATTTCTTTTTTCAATTAAAGTTTCTTTTGGTTCAAAAGATAAGTATGTTTTTCAGCATGGATTTAAACTTTCATTGCTTCTATCTCCCTATAGAATCTTGAGAGGGAACTACCTGTCTATGATAAACGCTACAGTGATCTGGATAGAGACTTTGAAGAGCTCATTAGCGACAAGAATATAAAAGAAGATCAACGGGAAGAAATCGTCGAAGACATGGATAACGTCAGAGATCTCTGGCNCTTCAAAGCCGTGAGAGATCATTTCGGAGGAGTTTTGTTCTTTAACGTTTTCAAACGGCATTAATCTCGATTCGAGTTGTTGATAAGTATCTAGCAATCTTTTAAAGCACGCAGGCGATAATAGTTGATCTCAATAAGCGATGGCCTAACAGATGTCGACCAATTTAACTGCCGTGAAAAAAATTGGGAAAATACTCCACTGGAACAATTCAGCCAACTGAACCAAAATCGGTTACCGTTAATTCCTTGCTTCCTCAGAGCTGAGATGAAACGCTTACTTTACTCAAACATATTTACTAAATTTAATATAACTGACTTAAGTAAGGTGATTTTTATCAATAATGACTATTCTAATTCCGACATTTTCTTATTTCATCGCAGATTGGCTTTGAAAAACGATTCTCTGAGATCAGGTCTCCAGAACTGACTAAAAGACAAGGAGAAAATAACAACGAGTGGAAACCATCAGTTGACGAGTCCAATGCTAGCCTAAGAAGGTAAGTATCAGTACTGACTATTGGCAAACCTAGTACTGTATGTAACTGGCTGCTCTTTTCTGGGACAACAAAACTTCAGCAAGGTACTGATATACTCGTACTTCGTGTTCACCATCTTTTTTATAATGTTACACACTTATGTAGTTCTCTTATCCATGGCAATATTTTTACTCCTTCAGTTCATTACATTAACATTTATTTTTCAGAGTTAAAGAAAAGCTTCAAGACATCCAGCGAGACAAGAAAAACCGAAAGTGGTCGATCATCGAGGCGCTGAAAGATGTTATGCATTCCATAACAACCAGGTTTCGCGGCGATTCCAAATCTGGAGTCCATCTTGACAAGGTGGTTGACCTGTTGGAAGACCATGAGGTGAAGAGAGTTTTAGCCCTGGTTACATAGCGTCTAAGATAGACCTCGTGCAATTTTGTCCCGATTGTATGTTTCCTTCTTGAGTTGATGGAAAGAGTTAGGAAGTTCGTTGCCAGAATCGGTTGTCAAAAGGTCTGACAACACGTTTCACTGGACAGAAAGAATCAGCCAAGCAGGTTTATCCCATGAAAACTCGAAAACATTAGCTCGAATGCAGTTTACAGTGATTGGGTCCAGAATCCTGTAACCACTTTTTTAGGCTCCATTTTACCTAACATTCGACACTTTCAAATATAGTCTTTCTTTTCCATTAATTGAAAGTTATATTTTTAGGACATCATGACTGATACATCATCAAAACAGAAGGACGCTGATGAACTGATTGCCTTGAGCGAAAACGCTCTCGAGAGCGGCATGTTAGAAAATGACCAAGCCAACGATGTTCATGATCGGATGGCAGACTTGAATCACCGATGGAATGGATTAAACATTGACGTCATTGAGCGTGAGAAAAGGTTGGTCTTCGTTAGATCGTTTCTTTTTTAAAATTTGAATGCTATAGTTTTGAAAACAAACTTTCGGTATCGTTGGGATAGGTCGATTCTAAATTCAAGTTCATTTAATTGTTTACACCTATTTCTATTACAGCAAAATGTCTTGCGTTAACGGCACTGAAGAAAAGAAAATAAAACAAATGCCAAATTACATTAAACAAAAAATAAGTGTGTAGAGGCCACAGAAACACAAGCTTCCGAGTTGCTCACTTCGACAGTGAATATATTCAAAACTAATTTTAAGCAAAGTTTGATAGCCAAATATTTATCCCATCAGTACAGCACAGTACTTAGTATTTTGTCCATAACATACGGCGCAATTAAAGAAACTGTAGTAACATTGGTGTTCCTTTTGAAAACATTTATGTATTCCAGCGTATAGAAATTAGAAATTTTAATTGAGGCCCTCAAACAGTGTAACATCCACGCATCATTGAACGTATTTGGACCGTGTATCCCGGTAGTCTTGAGATTATGAAATCAAGCTTCTGTGTAATAACAGAATCCTTATATAACACTTCAGTCTCAATGCTAACAATGCCACTTATGTCGGCATTTATTAACGTTTCCCGTTCTACAATAAATGGCGAGATCACTGATTCTTTGTTAGGCATTTTATAACATGTAAGGATAAAAAGTGAATCCACATTTCACCTATAAAACTGTGATTACCCTTCCACGCAGACTCTCTCGTCGTTAAAATATCGTACACCACACACTGACTTGTTTTGGTTTGGCTGCCCATTAATTCCTTCTTTTGTCTCCTGTGTTTTTCTCATTGTTGCTGATATTTTTTTTTTCACTTGTGAACTTTTTTTATTTGATCATGTCAAGATAGTCAACGACATTGTTCGAATTCCGCAGTGACAAAGAAAATCACAACAAATGTCCCTGTAAACAGCCTCCGCTTCTTCTGTAAACGTAAATGCCAAGCTCAAATATTTGCCGTGATTAACTTGAATGCGATGTTGATTTACATTTGCGTGACCTAGACGCATTTGAATGTGCATTCCCAGGTTGTCAACGCGTTCTACGCACGAAAACGTGTTAAATACAACGTGATATCGAGATTTTAGCTCATTATGGAGCGCGATGATGACGATTTTGAGAAGTCGCTGGCTCTTGCCTCCGCCACAGCCGACTTAATGCAGTACAGGTACATCCCATAACAATTATGCAGATGGTGCAAATTGTAGTCTTAATTGAATATGTTACGCCAAGTACAGTGTACATGCATTCTCGCACAACTGTTTTAAACGTGTTACCTTTTATAGCGATTCACCCAGGCGCTATTTTAAAAAGATAATTCCATTACTAAAAGTCCACATAACGGAAACGAAAGGCTGTAATAACATTATGGAGTTATGCTGCGTCGACGATTTCTGAGATATAAACATCTGTTGTGTCCGGATTTTCCTTGATTTTGCCAACAATTTTAGTTCTTGCTCTTAACTACACTATGAAACGAGCTTTAGTGAGGTTAGATACGTTTTCGACTGTAAGGTTCAAACTAATTTTGAAACAGGAATTATACGAATCTTTTGACAGGTCTCTCATAATTTCGGACATGTTTAAATAACAGTGCCTTAACTACAAGTGTTAAACATCTTCGCGCTAATTGAAAACTTGAAAATACGCTGGCATGTTTAAATTGCCCGCCGCTGATAAAGACTGTAATGTACTGTTGGAAAAAAAAAAAGAAACATACATGACCTTGCGTAAATTGTGGGAGAAAATTCACTATAACGCACTGATGGCGTGTTATCGATATGAGAGATTCCAATGTTGACCAACGTCTAAGTTTTCCGCACGATGTCAGCGCACAGACGGCATTATCCTGATGAAACACCAAGATGTTGAACCTTCAACCAAGGTGATATCTGACAATCACCAATTACTACAGCCAGTAAATATTGTGATAAGCAGGCTAAAATGGATCAAATAACGATACGTTGTCTTTTGTAGGCTGGAGCAACTTGCCCAAGATATCGAGAGCGAGTACAAGAGGTTCGACTCCTGGCGTGACAAATGCGACAACATGAATCAGTGGCTCACTGAATCGGAGAAACTGATTAAAAACGAAGAGAAGATTGGATCTGACATAGACGTTCTTCAAGAGCAGATTAAGGACAACCAGGTTGGTTTGAAGTCTTATACCATGCCATAGAAAATACAGCCAATCAGAATACAGGAAAGCCGTTGTTTACCCGACGGTATTCTACCCAACCTTCCCATCGTGTGCTGCTCGTATGTCGCATTGATTGTATTGGGCACTGTATTTTCAACGGCATGGTACTAGTGTCTCGTGGGATATTACTTGGTATACCATTCGAAAGCGTTGCGTAAATAACATTTATCATTGTTCAAGACCATGAGTCCTCTTCAACCATGCACATGAAAAAAACAAATGATCATTTAAAATACGAGTTCACCATCCGTTTTAATATTAGTCCCACCTATTTAAGAAAAAAACAATTTTGTCTCTCTGTAACTAATCGGTATTAACTTGAAATTATGTAATGGTACATTGCTATAATTTGGAGAGTTTTTTCCTATCTAAATATGATACGGTTGTTAAAAATGAACTAAAATATTACAATCTACAATGGTAGACCTTTGTTTGCTTTGGCGAAAACATATATACAGAAAAAATACATTTCGCTGGGTAACACTTGTAAGGACCTAAGGTAAACCTTTTGCATAGCTGCAAGATTTTGTTTGATTGTCTCTGGCTTGGTCACCTTACATGATGTATGTGCTCGTTACCCACAGCTCTTTCTGAATGAAGTAAAGGAGTACGAGCCAAAAGTTAACGCGATGGTTCAGGAAAGCCAGGACCTCGTTGACAGTAGCAAGCTGGATAAAACGGACATTGATGGAGTTGATAAAACCAAGAATGCCCTTAATTCAAGATGGAAGGCTGTCAATGACCATCTCAAAGAGCGGCAGCAAAAGTGAGTGATGCGCTAATAAACACTGTCATTGATAAAAACAACAAAACTGTTAACAGCTTAACATTCAATTAGGTACCATTTAAGGGTTGTCTCTATACTGGTAAATTCTCAGCTCACTTTGAAGTGTGATAACAAACAATCTAGGCTGCAAAACAGTCGTATTTTTTGCGAATGCGGGCGACGATCAATATTCGCAGGAAAGGTCTGAAGCGAATGTAAAAACGGCGAGGGAGATTGGGAAGAGACGCTAAAAAATACAGTCGTTTTCTCGCCTCGCACGCCCTTCGGCCGTGTGAGGCTCGCGCGCTTCACACGCGAGGATCGAGCTTACGGCGCTTCGCGCCTTCCGAAAACGTCCAAAAACGACTGTTTTGCAGTCTATAAACAATGAAGCTCCCCGCGAGACACGCCTTACGTCAGAACTGAAAGGCTGCAGGTAGCTAGCATTTATCATTTATATTGCTATGGAAACCAGATGCCTGCGATAGCGGGGAAATTCTGAGGAATATCAAGTGGTCGTTTACAATTAATGCCCAGAGTTGCTTAATAAGGAACACTTATGGACTAAATCGCACAATTAATTAGCAATTGCAAACTTCTATGAATAACAAAATTCTTCAAAACTAAACTTTGTTAATTGTTTAAACTACTTACTAACGAACAAGTGATTCAAAAGGCGTTGTAGTTTAATTTGGCTTTCAGTTTGAAAAGTTATGGGCGCCTTTTTCAAACCCGTACATCGATTGAAGCAGTTACTCTTCAATATGAGTTCCATTGAATATATACAGGACTATCCTTATAAGGTCCCCAGTTATCATTTCATGTATAACCTTACCACGTTCTCCTTACCTGACATTTGGGATTACTTTTTGCCATGCAGGTTAGATTCCGCCCTCTTGGACATTCTGAAGAAAGACACTGAAGGCAGACTCGGTCGGTGGAGAGAGCAGTCAATAGCGCTTGGATTGCTGGTCAGTGAAGCTACACGAAAAGTAGAGCAAGACGTGGATGAAACTGACTATGGAGACATCCAAGCCAGCGTTGTGCAACTTCAGGTTAGATGAAATGGCCTTTGTTGTGAAATATTGGGTTTTGGTATTGTTATACAATTGTTTACCCTTTGGCAACTTCAAGCCAACCATCACCTAAAGCCAATCAAACTGAAAAGAAACTTTTAACGTTAAAGCGCCGATGGCCATCAAGGTTGCCACCTCAGCTCAGCATAGATTCAGAGACTATACTACATTGAATCTGTCTTTACCTAACTTTTAGGAAGTCGAAAACTCGCTAGCGGAAGACTTAAGTAGAGAGTTAGTTGAAGTGTCGGATTCTGGCCGTGACATCATTGAAAAGGAAGAGTTACAGCCTGATGTTGGAGATGAAGTCAGCGAGACCCTGGATGCACTCAACAGACAAGTCACTGACCTAGAGAAAGGAACTAGAGATAAGAAGGACAGGTAAGACAAATAAAATCATGTGTAACATATAACATGTTAACATTATGTAACATATAACATGTTTTATACAGTGTTCATTCTTGTTAACTCAAACGCGTACCTTTAACATGGAGTCAAGCATGATTTATGTTACATTTCGTTTAAAGCCTAGAAAGGCGACTTGAGAAGTTGAATGATAGAGCCGTGTGCGCGCAAACCACATCCTGCATGCTTAATCCCAAGATCGTTTCTCTAGCGTACAAGCCCACCTTGTGTAAACAGATTCTAAGTTTGCCCGTCAGTTAGACATGTGATAACATTTTATTTTTTTTGTAACAGGATCAAGGAATCGTCTTTGAAGTACTTTGGTCGTTCATTGGCTGATTGTGAAGAAGCCGTTGAGAAACTCGGTGAGACATCCGTCAATAGTTTCACCGATGTTGGGTCTGACATTGGCGAGGTTGGAAAGCAACTAGCAGAGTTGCAGGTACGTATAGGATAAATGTCTTTAACCGGCCGAGTAGCAGTTTTCCTTTAATATAATAAGACTCAACTTCTTGAAAAGGTTTTTCCGCCTTTAAACTTGGAAAATACTGATTATTGTTTTATTCTTCATTAATAGGAATTTGAAAGTGATTTGGTTATAGAGGAAGCGACATTTAGTGACATCAAAGACCAGTTTGAGGACAGCAAAGGAACAGAGATGCTCAGAGAGGAAGACCGAGCACGAATCCAGCGGAGAATAGACGCACTAGATGAAAAGTGGGCGGAATTGAACAAAAATCACGACGAAAACCATCGAAAGTAAGAATATTAGTGACAGAATATTAGACACACGATGTAGCTGTAGAACTTTCCAGTTAAACAGCAGCACATTTAGTAAACTAACGAGGTACCGACCTGCCAACCGACCACCCGATTAAGCCACAGCCATAAGAGACGGACTGATCCAGCCCTCGACCAACCTACCGAGTGACTGACGAACTAACTGACTGTCTGACTGAGTGACTGAGTGACTGAGTGAATGAGTGACTGACAGACTGACGGACGGACGGACAGACGGAATGAATGAATGACTGAGTGATTTGTGATATGCATATTTACTGATTTGTTGACTCGTTTATCATACGATTTACGATCTGATAAATGATTGCTAAACTGTTTGTGTGTTCAACTACCATTACGTTTACTCTCGTCCACGTTGTTTTGCCTGGATTTCACCGTTGCTGTTGTATTTGCTGCTAGTATTTGCAATTGAGTTGTGGCTGCTTCAGCTTCTCTTACTGGTCCTGATGTTGTTGATGTCTTGTTATTGTTGATGTCAGTCGTTGTCACTTCATCAAAATGCAATTATAGAAAAACATGTTATGTAACCATAGTTACTACGTGTAACTACGATCCCTGCGTGTACCTGGGAGTCATAATTCTCCCTTCATACAAGAATAAGCGTTGAGGTCTTCTTTTTGTTTTTTAATTTCCCGGAACACTAAAAGGCGAGCTGGGATCATGTGGACTGATAATGTAGTGTTATCTCTAGCTTCAGAGAGCTCCTAAGATGAATGTTTTGGCAGCACTAAGGGAGCCTATTCTTAGGAAAGCCTAGTCACTCATCAGTTACCTAATGCATATCTGCTGTCTTCACAGGTTAACCCACGCAATGATTGTCCTCCACGAAGAACTAATGGAGGAGATCTATGATTGGTTAGGCGATGCCGAGAAACAAGCCGATTCAATAGCTGTGAACGAAGATGACATTAGTTCAGTCATGGAAGAATACGGCAGACACAGGGTATGACTTTACATTAGGAAAGCTAGTGCTTGAAAGACCTGTTTTTCTTCAATATTAAAAATACCTTTTATTGAAGATGTTCCTACCAGAAGCGGGTTGTCTCTTTCTGTCAGAAAACAGCGTTAGACGTGCGCCCTTAAATGATAGATTTAAATTACTTCAGGCGGGCGTTTTGAAGTGGAGAACTGAAAGACTGAGCACAAACGTCGTCCGTTTCCTGCACTGGCATGGCACTGGCTTGCGGAGAAAGTGGTATATTTACGATTTTCGTAATTTAAAGAACTTTTATTTTCAACAGGAACTGAAGAACGAAATCTCCTCATTCGACCCAACGTTCAAAAAAGCAATTGGAATAAGTGATAGGCTACTGACCGAGCGGTTGGTGGACCCCGAGAGAGCCGAGAGTTATGAAACGGAAATAAGCACTCTAGAAAAGAGATGGAAAAATCTACAACTGAAAACCATGGACAATGGAGCAAAGTGAGTATAAATGATGATGATTTTAAAGAAATTTTAGGAGCCACTTTTACAGACGCTGCAACTTCTAAAATGTAACCTAGTTACAGTGGAACCTTCATTACGGAAACACTCTCATGACAAGGAGACTTTTCCCCTTTTCCCCTTCGGGGGTGTTCCCTTAATGGAGGTTCCACTGTAAAATAGAGGTTTGATTAGGGTGTAATCGATAGCTGAGTTTTCCTTAACATTTCAACTGTCAGCCGAGGACTAAAGCGTTTGAGAACTGATGGCTGAGATCTGAAGCTGGAATCTTAACTGATAATTGAAATTCTAGCACCCCAATGAGACCCTCATCATTGACCCGGCTTTCGTCCCTATTTCATAGTGATCGTTGTTAGGTTAATATCGGTAGTTCTTGATAAGTCAAAGGCACCAATACTAACTGACCCTGTTCTGCTTATTTAGATTATCTGGTGTCCTTGGGAGATATATCACAACACGATTAGATGACGCAGAGATAATCTTGACACAAGCAGAGTCAAGTATAAGCAGAGATGATGCAGATTATTTGGACCTCGAAGCAGCCAAGAAAGCATTAGATGCGTTTAGGGTAAGTTAACGTTTTGTTAAAAATACAGCAACTGATGGGACTGCGGGGGGGGGGGGGGGGGGAACATTTAGAGAATGGAATGAACTTTCTGAAAAAGCCACACAGAGCCAGGAGTTTCTCTTCTAGTGCCCCTATTGGTAAAAGGGCAAACCTTTTAGAATTGACTATTGGCACATTCGCCCATCCAGTGTCAGATTTAAACAAGCGTCCTCTTTGTCTTCTTCTGCTATTATGAACACAGATTGGTTGCCAATGCTTTACTCTTGCGTCAAATTTTATCAAATCGCTGAAAAAAAGAAAATTAATGTTAGCGCAATTTTCAGTCACGAAAAACGGACTATTCCGAGAACTTTTACACCAAAAATCATTCAAAATCATAACATCATATGTGCGCATGTAAGCTTTATAAGGAGTGCTTTCAAAACTTAACTGCTAAATAACAGCACTCTTACATTACGATCACAGTATGATATCTTTTAGTTCCAGCGTCTTATTGTGCTGTTTTTTGGGTTTTTCAGGTCAAAAAGACAGAAATTAACGAGTCGCAAAAGAAAGTTGACGAGATTCTCACCGAGTCCCAGGCCATTGTCAAGGAGGAATTCTTCAAGGAACATGAGCGGGATCATTTTCAGGGTAGAATTGACATGATTGACAAGAGGAACAAAGGACTCGAGGAGAAGGCTGACAAAGAGGAAAGAAGGTACAGTATGACTTGATATTTACAAGATTTGTTACTATAAACTAAATTGTCAATCGCCATTTAGTGTCTCTACTTTAAGGGACGAGGGACGGACCACGACTGAGATTTCAGACTGCATTCTTCAATGACTTGGCTATGGAGACGGGATGTGTGAATGTCTGCTATGCCAATATGTCTCTGGACAGACTCAAAATGTGAAATTTTTTGACAACTCCCTATAGCTTGATATGTAAGCTGTCGACTTGACGACTGCGGGGTTTGTGTTAAAGGACTAGGAAACTACTGACAAAGANAGTATAGTTTTTTAGCAGTGTCCCCTAATTAGTATGGTGTTTTTATTCCCAGGCTATAAGGTTTTTTGACACTTTAATAAAGTTCTCACTCACACTCACATTTACAAGATTTGTTACTATAAACTAAATTGTCAATCGCCATTTAGTGTCTCTGCTTTGAGGGACGAGGGACGGACCACGACTGAGATTTCAAACTGCATTCTTCAATGACTTGGCTATGGAGGCGGGATGTGTGTATGTCTGCTATGCCAATATGTTTCTGGACAGACTTACTATGTGAAATGTTTTGACAACTCCCTATAGCTTGATATGTAAGCTGTCGACTTGACGACTGCGGGGTTTGTGTTAAAGGACTAGGAAACTACTGACAAAGACAGTTGTTTCAGTTTCTCGTTTAGTTGCTTTAGTAATTTGCTGAATGTTCCTGTTGTTGTTTTCGTCTCGTCAGAATGCTTGATACCTACATTTTGCTACTTAAACAACACTTGCAAAGGATGAACGTTTGGCTCAAAATGGCAGAGTCCCGGGTTAAGCAAGAAGGTGAGATTGGTCCAGGTTATGATGACGTTAAGAAACAACTGGAAGATCATCAGGTAGGTTTAAACCCTATCCCTGTTTGGGGCAAAGGAAAAAATTTACACTCGTACCCTATGCAGGGAAACGCTCTCTATTGTATCGCGCTGTTTAGGACAAAGAATTGGATCGAATTATAGGATACTGATAACGATAGAATCAATTTCTTGTCTCAAATTATCTTATGTTGTGTAATGACCTGCTAGACATCAGTCGGCTATCATCTCCGAGCTGAAATTGCTGGGAATTGTATAAACCTCATTTGATATCAGCAATGGTGCAACCGTACTCTGTTCATATATTTATAAATCCGGGTCAAAATCCATGCCCTGTCGGGCGGCAGTTCCCCTATATACCATCTAAAGGAACCACCTCCGGTAAGAACGTTTTGCGGCTTATTTTCTCTAGGAGATTTGAAGTAAGTGAAGAGATCATACCCGGACCTATTTAAACGATTTTTTTTTTACAATTTCAGGTCTTTCAAGAAGAACTTAGGGATCACTCTATGATTACAATGATTCTTGGTGTGGACATTACAAATCCCGACATCAACGACAGCACCCAACAACAAGTGAAGTCGCTCAGTGATCGGTGGAGTAAAGTGTGGAACTGGTCTGAACAGAGAAAACACCAACTTCTTAAGGTATTCGATTGGGGTCTAAACTTCAGGCGAAAAAACAAATCCAAAAATGCGGTAAATTAACCTTGTAAACTGCGACTATAAATCTTATTAAGTGCTAGGTTTACTTGCGCATGCAGGCCGATACTGCAAGACCTGTTCTTCACAATTTGCGTGAACTGTACTTGGAAGGTAACGGTGAACTGTTGAACGTTGCCTTATTTTCGAGTGAAATTTGGTTTGAGTCATCCTTTCAACAGAAGATCGACATCTACGATTAATAAGTACAATTGCTAGCTTCAAGCGTTCATTTAGAACTGCCTGAAAGTTTCAGAGATGTTTTTCTAAGTTCCTTCAGGTGGGACACTCCTTTTACGCGTAATATTGAATTCTTCTTCCTGTTGCAGGTTCTAAGCAACTGGCAGCGATTCCGTGACGAGCAGTTGATATTGCTCAACTGGTTATCAAGCAAGGAGAAAACCCTCAAAGACATGGGAAGAACAGATCTTACTGATGAGGATGAAGTCAAAGAACACTTGGAAAAACTCAGGGTAAGACATATTTTCTGTACATGACGTGATGTGTAGTTGTGTAATGATTCTTTCCGCGTTCGTCTGTTACCATGACCCATGCTGAACATTATATTTAATTGAAGTGTCAATGTATTTGTCACTCCTGTGCTAACTGAGGACGCTGTAAACAGGCAAATATTGCAAATAGACGGAACAGAAAAATGTTACGAAGTGGTAGGCTCCGTATTTAGCTATTTACAAAGCACAGCTGATATCCGATTTCAAATCCAGTCGGCGATCTACGACACTAGTTATACTCGTGCACACAACCTCCTCGCCATGAGGATTGTGGTTGGGGGTGACCTGCACCGCTTACCAGGTTCTTTATAATAGGCCAAACGAAACAATAGGTAAACAACACAAACGATGTCCCTAGCCCTAGGGACAAATGAGCTCCATATCAACAAGAACGAATCAAAATAGAGGTTTTAAAGAGGTGCAGGTCAATTGTGTGGTCGCGGTGCACAGTTAGTTGCGTCATCATTCCGGCTTTGTTGTTATTGTTTTGTATTTTTTTTTCTCTGCGTGTGAGTACGTGTACGGGCATGGGGGACGCTTTTCAATAGCGAGAAAATATTATAAGTTAAGTGGTCACCCTGAAACGTTCTAATCGCAGCCGCAAAGCCTTACTAGCTTGCAATCTTGCCTGATGTCATCATAGCTTGATTTCTTTCTTTTATTTAAAAACTGAAAATTAGATAATAGAAAAGGAGTTGGATGAGCAAGGAATACGTCTGCAGTCATTGCACAAAGCCGGAGAGGATTTGTTAAAGAACGTGGACAAGGGGGACCCGGCAGCCAAAGAGATCAATACACAACTGAAAGATTTTGACGACTGTTGGAATGACATTGCAAAGCAAGTCATCAACAGAATACAACAGGTAAAAATAAAAGGTTCTGCTGAGATTCAAAGTATTCGTGAGATACATTTATAAACAGCTTTACTTGTATCTTTTTCAGCTTGAGACCTCTCAGAGTAAAATAAACGAATTTCATTCGGAAATGGATGCCACAAATGAATGGATGGATGAAACTGAAAAGCTGCTCAAGTCGTTCAGCGTTGGAATGGAACCAGAAGAAGCCACCAAGTTACAGGAAAAGACGGAGGTCTGGTTTTTGTTTTGGTTGTTTTTTGTTGTTGTTTTTGCTTTTATTGTAGTAAGAAGCGTTGATTTAGTTTGTATTAAAACTTGTTGCAACGTCTGCTTCTATCGTTGGTGCTCTAGTCACGATGCTTTAAGAACGGGAGTTCCTTTATCCAATCCCTTCGCGTCCTTTAAAGGAGCTGGTTTACAGCTATAGAGATACTCGTATGTACTCCTTACACCTTGCGTCCCCATCAGGATGCGAAAACTGCCATCCACAATCTCTATTGGCAGGTGATAAACTTCTGATATTGGATCAACTGCATACAGTGCGAAGAAGAGCATACAGCATACAGTGCGAAGAAGAGCATTCATATAACATTAAAAGTCGAAAACATCACAGGTGTTGCCAACTAACTAACAATTTTAATGCAATTTTTGCAGATCAAATGCGAAGAACGTTCCAGATACGCTGCTAAAGTTGATCGAATCAACCAGCTTGGCAAAGACCTGGCCGGAGAAATCGATCAACCGTCCCATGACGCCATTCAAGAAGAACTGCAGCCTTTCAACGCCCGTTGGAGTGACGTCTCGAGTCAGCTTGAGAACTTCAGTGACAAGGGCTATCCTCAACCCGGGAGCGAGTGCTGCTTCCTTCGCATCATGAGAAGGAAATTCGGAGTGTTCCAGTGACTGAGATGAACTGTTAATTTCAAATTTGTGAAGAACTAACGGCGACCTTGTCATCGTCAGTGTCTATATACGATAACAAAGACGGAGGTGGCTGTTGCTGAGCAACGAAAACATTCGGTGTGCTCCTGCATGAACGCGGAAGTTTTTGCTGACTACGAATAAGAAAATTTTAGGTTTTTTTTAGTTCTTTCTTTGACAAAAGTACCATTTTTCGCCTAAAACCTGTCATTACAGCGATGTTGATGAAGTGGCTGGGAATGGCAAGCGATGACTTTGCTCCTCCCCCCTACCCCCGCCGCCCAAACCCCAATTGGATGAAAGTTGCTACTTTTTGCACATCATACGTTTTTCACTTGTAAAAAGACACATCGGCACGAACATGATAGCAATTTTCGTTAGTACTGTTTTTCATCTCACTGTCACCTGTTTTTCATCTCTGTAGCCGTGCTAGCAAGACTCACCAAACCCTCCTCCATGAGAAAAGCGTTGCGTGACGATACACAAGTGACACGTCACCCCAAGGTTCATTTAATCCATATTAAACGTTGGTTGACGAAAAAATCAGAAATAATCAGAAAAAAATCAGAAATAATCCACTAGAATTTCATTAATTTAAAGTTCATTTTGAAGTTTTAAAACTACCTTTGCCCTTGCGCTTCAAAATAATATTAATGGCTAAATGCAATTAAGTTGTAAATTTGTATTTTTTGTAGGAAACTTGTCAGGCGCCCTTGGGGTTCAAGTCTTTTATAGTTATTTGTAGTCATGATTTCGATCTATTTGTCGACGCATAAAGGTATTTACTGATATTTATAACTGCTGACTTCGCTTTACCAGTTCATAGTTTTTTTACAAAAAAAGAAAAGCTTATTTCGCCTGATGAAAACTCTCGAATGCGGTTCAAAGCGGAGTCTAAAGCCCTTTTTTTTTAATTTGGTCGCCCTTGCTAACGACTTTTAAGCTATTGAGCTGCGCCAATAGCTCAAACTTGCTCATGTCGTCTCTTGTCATATTATCTTAAGATATGCCCACAACTTTGACCAAGGTTTTAAACGTATTTAACAGGGCTAAGCTTCCTTTCCCAAGAGAGATCATAGTACATATTGCAATGCTTTTGTGATGATGTATCTTATTTGTTGATGCAGGTATGCCTCGTGTAACGTTAGGACCAGTTTTCAAACATTTAAAGTATTTTTAAACATTATTAAATTTATAACATTGCTTTACTTGAATTATGTTTCTTTAAAATTTAGAAAAAATTTCCAGATTTCGAAGTGTAGAGCCTGTGAAACGAGTTCAGTGTCTCCAGTTTGCTATGTCCGCGGAGAAAAAGAAGCGGGTGCACAACCTAATTATGGGGAAAAAATTATGCAGAAAATAAAGAATAATGGGCACACGTAGATATGGAATTTCTCTTCGGGTATTCAACTCGGAATCTCGCGAATGAGCGCAGTAAACAATTAAGATATAACGTTGAACACGAAAAGGGAAATTGAATGTCTACAAGCAGCGGGCGTATTATTTTGTTCATTATATAAACATCCTAATAGCTGGTTTTCACATGGCGCCACTAAAATTCGAACTACAAAACTATTGATCTTCCTGAGATTTTACTTAAATGATGTATAAGAGCAGCTGAAAACTAATATTCATACAAATTTTCGCTCCGAATGGGTGTTTGGTTTTCTGATACACTACGCTTGAATTGCTAAGCTTTTGCGTGACGCGGCATTTACGTGACGGCCTAAAGAGCTGTCATGATGGTTAAAAACGTGTCTTATTTCGGGGAACTTGGCTATCTGAACAGTTCGTGTCTTAGAAAAA